AAGGAAAAGGTGTGTGCAAATGCATGGCCTGCTCAGGGTGGTTGTGGCTGCAGGGTGGGTATTTGGTGGGAAGTGTGGGGTGCTCCCTAGAACATTAAGTTGTGACAGTCTCTCATAATATGAAGGAGTCTAGAATTTTTCCCATAGGCCAAAGTTTACAAACTCAAATGCCTGCAAGGTTACTCAGATACCTCAAGAGAATAAATATAGGTTTTATTTTTTCTGTATGAACATACTTTATTCAGAAAAAGGGGCTGCTATTAAACTGATAGCGAGATTCTTCACATTTAAAAGAGGAATATACTCTTCTTTCATTCGAAGAGTCTTTATTGAGCATCTTTTGTGTGCCAGGCATTGTTCTAGGCACTGATTATTTAATCCTAAAACATGCAGCCCTCTAGGTCCATGTTTTCTTTTCTTACTTTTGTTAGAGATGAGAAGATAATACATTTTCTTTCCTATAAGGAAAAACTTAGGGCATGATAAAAAGGCAACAGGCACCCTAATAAGAAGTGGTAGGGAAACTGGGTTGAGGGGAAACTGGAGAGTCTGCCACTGTCTAAAACAGTAGCTGCAACTCAGCGCCAGATGATTATGGCTCCTTTGAGAATAAGACTAGTGGAGTAATCGTGTTCATTTTTTTCTTAGAGAAACTGGGAATATGGATTTTTTAAAATGTGATCTGCTAAGGTCTGAATGTTTGTGTCCCCCACCCCCAAATTCATATGTTTAAATTCTGAGCTCTGAGGAGATGGTATTAAGGAGCCTTTAGGAGGGCAGAATCATCATGAATGGGATCAGTGCCCTGATAAAACAAGCCCCAGAGAGCTCCCTTGCCCCTGCCACCATGTGAGGACACAGCAAGAAGGTGACATCTATGAATCAGAAAATAGGCCCTCACCAGACACCAAATCTACCTGGGCCTTGGTCATGGACTTCACAGCCTCTAGAATTGTGAGAAATGAAGTTCTGTTGTTTATAAGCGACCCAGTTTATGCTCTTTTGTTATAGCAGCCCGAAGGACTATGACATGATATCATGAAAATCTTTTGTGTTGGCTAAAAAATGTAAACTTATTCTGCTGTGCACACACAACCGGTTGGCAGGATGTATCAGGGTGGTGGATGAGCCGTCAGTTCTCTGCTATCCCCTGCTGTAAGCAGCAGTCAGTAAGGGAGGTATGGCCCAGATCGCTAGATGCCTATCCAGTATTCATTCATTCTTTCCATCCTTTCTTTTATTTTTTTATTATCAATACATGTGGGGTACAATGTTGATTTTCAATAATCGTGTAGAATGTGTGGTGGTTAGATCAGTATAGGTAGCTTATTCATCATTACAATACGCAATCATTCTTTTTGTTTGTTGGCCAATTCCTTCATAAGCCCCCCTCCCTTTCCTCTTCCCCTCCCCTTTTCCACCTCTAGTTTTCTAAAAGTTCAATGTACTACTGTGATTACTGTTTCTTTGTTTCTTTCTCTCTGTCTCTACTTATTGTTCATTTCTTTATTTATGGATTTGGCTCCCAGTTATGAGTGAGAACATGCAGTATTTCTCTTTCTGTACCTGGATTTTTTCACTTGGGATAATTTTCTCCAGGCTCATACATGTTATTGCAAATAGTAGAATTTTGTTCTTTAAGAACAGAATCCCAAGATAGTCAAGGAGGTAAAGTGCCCAGCTGATGGCTATATTTCCTAGCCTCCCTTGCAGATGTGTGACTCCCATGTGACCAAGTTCTGGCTAATGAGAGGCAAGTGGCTGTTCTTGGCTGTTACTGGAAAGGCTACCAAAATGGAACAGATGGCTGGCAAGTTGACCCTGTTCCTCCAGCTTTCTTCTTTAAACATTGAATGGATGGCTAGAGCTTCAGCAGACATGTTGGACCAAGAGGCAGACATGGAAGCTGGATTAGTTTGCTTGGGCTGCCGTGACAAAATGCCACAGACTGGATGGCTTAAACCACAGAAATATATTTTCTCACAGTCCTGGAGGCTGGAAGTCCAAGATCAAAGTGTTGTCAGGACTGGTTTCTTCTGCAGCCTCTCTACTTGGCTTGCAGATGGCTGTGTCCTCACATGGTCTTTCCTCTGTGTGGACATCCCTGGAGTCTCCTCGTGTGTTCAAATTTCCTCTTCTTATAAGGACACCAGTCAGATTGTATTAGGTCTTGCTCTAACCATCTGATTTTAACTTCATCACTTCTTTAAAGGCCCTATTTCCAAATGCTGTCACATTCCGAGGTCCTGAGGATTAGCGCTTCAATATACGAATTCTGGGGGAGGGTGGAGACACAAAGTCAGCCCATAATGCAAGAAAATCAAAAATTTCCAAATTTTCTGAAATGAAGTTGAGAAACATATACAGATTTCATCATGATCCAGGACACCTGGGTTCTGTGCTCTAAGCTATTTTATGGTCAGGTAAACCTCTCAGGTTCTTTTTTTATCTGTAAAATGGGGGTAGTAACACCTGGGTTACCTATCTTTCAGCATTTGGTGAAGATCAAATAAAAGAATGAATGTGAAAATGTTTTGCAAAATAAGAATCATCTGTAAAGTGTTTCTAAAGTCATTTGTTTACCTTCTTTGTGATATTTTGCCCTGTGTATCACCTGTATTGTGATTTTTCTAAAAATTGGGCTGTTTTAAATAATTTACACACCTGCTAGTAACAACCTCAGGTGACACTGCCACAGCCTCTATCCTCTGTCACCTGCAGTAAACAGGTAACTGTAGGGAGTACTGGGGACACCCTGGAAGCCAGGAAATATGCCCACACCTGGACCAGCTTTGGAGAAAGCCTGGGGTTCCTTCATCTGGTGCTTTCCCAAGGAACTCTCGCTCTGTTCCACCCACAACCACCGTAAGAACACAGTCCAGGCTCCTTTCCTTGTTCTCTCCAGCTGGTCCCACCTGCTTGAGAGGCTCTCTCCAGAGACTTCAATCATGACTCGGTAGCCTTTGGGGATGTGGCTGTCAACTTCACTCTAGAGCAGTGGGTTATGCTGGATCATTCCCAGAAAAAACTCTACAGGGATGTCATGGGGGGGATCTTTATAAATTTGACTTCTATAGGAAAAAAATGGGAAGACCAGAACCTTGAAGATCAGTACAAAACTCACGGGAGAAATCTAAGCAATCATGTTATAGACAAAGCCAGAGGAAGTAAAGAAAGTCATCAATGTGGAGAAACCTTCAGCCAGATACCAAATCTTAATCTGAACAAGAAAAGTTCTCCTGGAGTAAAACCATGTGAATGTAGTTTGTGTGAGAAAGTCTGCATGTGTCATTTATCCATTAACAGGCACATTCTATCTCACACTGGACCCAAACCATATGAAAATCAGGAATATGGCAAAAACCTGTATAAACAAGAGCAACACAGGAAAGCCTTCAGTTACCTCCACTCCTTTCAAATTCATGAAAGAGCTCACGCTGGAGAGAAACCCTATGACTGTAAGGAATGTGGGAAAGCCTTCATTTTCCAACCATTCAAAGACACATGATAGTGCACATGGGAGACAGATCTTACAAAGATAAGATAAATGGGAAAGCCTTTGACTGTCCCAGTTCATTTAGAATGCATGAAAGAACTCACACTGGAGAGAAACCCTATGAATGTAAACAATGTGGTAAAGCTTTTAATTTTTCCTGTAACTTTGGAAAGCAGGAAAAAACTCATACTGGATAGAAATGCTAAAGGTAAGAAATGAGGAAAAGCCTTTGGTTGGCCCATATGCTGACAAAAACATGTACAAATGCACATTGGATTGAAGCCCCATTAATTTTAAAAATAGAGAAAAGCTTCAAATTTTACCACTGCTTTAAAAGTCATGTTGAAATTCACACTGCAGTGAAATCCTAGAAATATCATAAATGTGGAAAACCTGATGGAAATTAATTCATGTGTAATGCTCTAAAACATTTACAACCTGAAAGAAATATTGTAAAAGTAATAGATATTTTATGTTTAAAAAAATAAATGTTTACTAAAAAACCCTTTTATCAGAATTGTCAATAAAAAGTAACATACAAATAAATAAAAATGAAAACAACATAACATTATTAAACACCAGCTAGTTACTGTTAAGTGCTAAGGCTTGCTGTCTTTGTGAAAAAAGGAGATCAAACTAGGGAAGGCTTAAAGTCAAGCTAATATCAAACAGAGACTTCAACTTGATATAATCAGAAGACTTAAGAAAAGAGAATTGGAAAAGGAAGAACTTTCTTATGATTTAATGAAATGATATTTAATACCACAGCTATATAATATGGTCTCACCCTTAAAAAACATTGACATTTAAGTATATATGATGGCATGAAGTGGTTTCCGCAGGGAAGAAAGGAAACCAATGGTTTGTGAACAATTGTTTATGCCAGCAATTGCTGAACAATTGTTTCCATGAGGGAAGAGGGATGCTTTCACCCCTCATGGAAACTCAACAATAACCAGCTGAGATGGGTGTTCCTTCCTGGTTTCCACTTGGGAAAACTGAGGGTCAGGGTTGTGTAGCTTGAGTTGACATCACACAGATGCCAGGAGAGGGAGTCACTTAGAAGCAACGAGCCAGCTTCAAATCCCGTGGTCCTTCCCGTACCATTTCATAATCCCATTATTTAGTCCCTCCTTGTGATATCTGGAATTTCAGGAAAACAGTGCCATTGTCCATTTGTGAGATACAGTTATCAGAAAGAGGCAGTAGAGCATATTGGTTGAGAATATGGTCTCCGGAACCAGACTGCCTGGATTCAAATTCTGTCTCTGCCTCTTGTTAGCTGCGTAACCTTAGACAAGTAACTCAGCCTCTCTGTGCCTCAGATTCCTGAGGGATAATAACAGGACTCACTTCATACAGCTCTTATGAAGACTGAATTAGTTGATATGTGTATAGCATTTAACATAGTGCTGGTGCAGGATTCACTCTAAATGTTAGTATTATCCACGCTTTATGTTGTGACTACCATGCTATGGCTTTGGATAAAATGCTCCATGCTTGCTTAGAAAGGCAGCTTGCCAAGGCATCTCCTCTTCAAAGCAGCTTTTACATCTTTATTCCTCAGGCTGTAGATCAGAGGGTTCAGCATGGGGATGACCCCAGTGTAGAAGACAGACACAACCTTGTTTTGTTCTATGGAACTGAGAGAGCTTGGCTGAGCATACATGAAGGTGATGGTGCTGTATAAGAGGCAGATGATGGTGAGGTGGGAGGCACAGGTGGAGAGTGCTTTGCTCTGTGCCTCCAGGGAATGCATCCTACAGATGGTCACCAGGATGTAGACATAGGAGACCAGAATGATGGTGATGGTAAAGAGGATAAGCAAGGCGGAAGATGAGAAGATGATGGTCTCAACCTCAGTAGTGTCTGCACAGGCCAGATGGAGCACAGGGGGGATGTCACAGAAATAGTGGTTAATGACATTGGGGCCACAGTAGGGAAGCTTGAAGATGTACCCAGTCAGCAAAGCTGAATTGGCAACAGAAGCAGTATAGATGGCTACCACCAGCAGAACACACAGACGTCGGGACATGATGGTGTGGTAGAGGAGAGGGTGGCAGATGGCGGCGAATCGGTCATAGGCCATGACAGCTAGGAGCAGACACTCAGCAGTACCATGGAGAACCATGAGGGCCATCTGGACCACACAGCCTGCAAAGGAGATGGACTGGCCTGAGGTGAGGAAGCTCTTCAGCAGCTTGGGAGTGTCCACTGTGGAAAACGAGGAGTCTATGAAGGACAGGACACTCAGGAAAAAGTACATGGGTGTGTGGAGCTGTGGGTCTGCGTGGATCAGGGTGATCATGCCCAGGTTGCCCAGGAGGGTGACTGAGTAGATGAGCAGAAAGAGCGCAAAGAGGACGCCCTTGAGCCCTTCATGCTCTGTGAGCCCCAGCAGGAGGAACTGGGTGACGTGGGTGTGGTTCTTCACCATGGTGCACATGTCACTGCGGAAAGACCAAATAAGACTTGCTTGTATCCAAGAGGCAGACCCAGGGTTAGTGCCCGAAGCTCTTTTAGTGCCCCCAGAATAGGTGGTGCTGGGGGAAGTGGGGAGGAGAAACTAGCATGAACAGAACACCTACCCTGGGGCGTGTGTTAACTCATTTCCTAAACAGCTATTTAAACTTCATGCATACTGATTTAAATATTATGCCCTTTTATGTTTAGTGAGATTATCAACTTGCCCAAGCACAGAGAGCTAGTACATAAGGAAAGTGGAATTAGAACTCAGTTTGTTCGGGCCAAGTCAAGAGTTAAGATCCCCTTACCAGTCATCTTTAAAAAAAAAAAAAAAACCAACTCAGTTTGTTCTAGTAATTCTATCCTTATTATATCGTTAGAATCATTTTCTGTCCCCAAATTTCTTGTTCCATGGTGATGCATTTTGGACATGACTGGCGCCATTGTGCACACAATGAGCACAAAATAGCCACTGGCTTGTCTTCCACTCCAGCACCAATCCCTTCCCCTCTGCCCTTCCCTTTACGAGAATCCTCCTGTCTTAAACAGAAACTCCTTTTGCTTCTGGAGGGACGCAGTTCTCCACCCCAATCCACGTTAGGATAATGACCCTCCTGTGGTATCAGCCAGCCCTTGGCACCCTATATAAGCTCTACCATCCCCACACCTGGTGCTGTCCCCCATTTTCAGGGCATCCCCAGGCTGCCTGCCACTTTGAGCACAGCCTGGCAGATTTTCTTCCTTTAATAAAGCTTGAACAGTACCAGGCATCTTGGCTCACTTTCTTTCACATGGGTAACTGGCATCAGTGGCGGGTGTTGGAGGCCACTTGTGTTGGCCCAGAGAGGGAATAAATAAAGGATCAGTTTGGGTCACATTTAGGAGCAAAGACTCCAATGCTGCCAGTCCTGGAGACCAGGCATGCAGGAAATCAGATGCCTCATGTCATCAGAATGTTAGGTGACCAACAGAGCAGTCATTCCTCCCAGTGTTGTGGGTTAAATTGTATCTCCAAAAAAGATATATTGGAGTCATAACCCCTGGTACCTGTGAATGTGACCTTATTTGGAAATAGGGTCTTTGCAGATGAAATTAATTTGAGGTTATACTTGACTAGGGTGGGCCCTACTCCAACATGACTGATGTCCTTACAAGAAGAGAAAACATAGATTCAGGGAGGAGGCACAGACTCAGAGAGAAGACGTCCATGTGAAGATGGAGGTAGATATGCGAGTGATGCTGCCATAAGCCAAGGAATGCCTGTTTTCCAGAATCTGGAGAAGGCAAGGAAGGATCTTCCCCTAGAGGTTATGGAGGAAGCATGGCCCTGCCAACACCTTGATTTTAGACTTCTAGACTCCAGAACTGAGAGAGAATAGATTTCTCCTATTTTAAGCCACCCAGTTGGTAGTACTTTCATACAGAAGCCATAGGAGATGACTACCCCCAGGTAGGGATGCTTCTGCCTATTGAGGCTGCCTGCAGTGCTTGATGGAGGTGCCCTGAGCTGTTGTCAGAAGACAGGGCTTTACTGATCTCTCTGTACTGACCTAGCTCATAACCCATGGAAAGAAAACGAAATAAAGTAAAATGAAACAAAGTCTGTGTTATTGTTCACTACTAAGAAAAATATTCATCTGGGAGAACAGGCTACAGTAAATATAAAAACCCCAGCTTGACAAAACCATGACAAAGAACCAAGGCTTGTGTTTTTTTTTTTTTTCCTTTTTGTCTTTTTTACTGACCGGTACGGGATTGCAACCCTCGGTGTCGTGCCCGTACCGGGGACCGGCAACGGGATCGCAACCCTTGGTGTTGCACCCGCGCAGCGCTCAGCCAGTGAGCGGAACCGGTCACCACATGGGATCCAAACCCTCGGCAGGAGCGCAGCCGCGCTCCCAAGCGGCGCACTCTCCAGTGCGCCACCGGGCGGGCCCCAAGCCTTGTGTTTTAGCTAGAAACAACAGAAGGCAGTAGAACATGCCAGATTTGTGGCTTTGGGGTCCAGTGAAGGACAGTTCTTAAGGCAGAATTGGAGACGGGATCTCTAACTCAATATTTACCCTCTTAAGCTCGGGGTGTGTGTGTGTGTGTGTGTGTGTGTGTGTGTTTGTGTGTGTGTGTGTATGTGTGTGTGTAGTGTGTCTTATGTTCATGAAACTTCTCTCAGGTGTTTTCATGCTCCCAAGAATTTACCTTTCAGTATCCTTATCATCTAGGTTTTCAAATAACCAAGGCAGAGATTCACAGGGTAAGGCGTGTATAGCATACAGCCAGTGGCTGCTCTGGTTGGTCTGATGCCTGTGCTGATTGGCCAAGCCTTCTTTCTGATTGTTTGGGCATCTGTTCTGGTTGGTCAATCCTTCTTTCTTAGGCATCTGTTTTGATTGGCTGGTGCTGGTGACATATCAGTTGTTAAATGTTTGGAATTCCGAGTGATCTGAGTGAGGCAGGGAAGGAAGGAGGAATAAGGCAGAGCCTCTTTTATAGCTTTTCCAGGGTTGCTATAACTAGGTGGCCTAAAATCAAAGCTAATGTGGCTTTGTGCTATTAGTATCTTATAGACAACTCCTGGTCTCTTGAAATGTAAACAACACGCGCAGATTATACCTGTGGAGAGCACTAGAGGGGATGAGTCTTCACGCATGACATTTCCCTCCCCGTTGAGGGCTACCCGTTGTCTAACACTCCTGTGTCTCCTCTCCTGAAAGATGAGTACTTTAAGTGATCAGAGAGTTTGGATAAGCTCTGGGTGTGTGTAGTTCTGCTCAGCCCTCTTCTTTGCTGTAGGAAGCACAGTTCTGCTCCTCCATAACGTAGATCTTAAAACTGGGCCATTAAGTCTGTTTTAAGAAGACCACTCACCCATAGGTATGTATCATGTTCTACAGTAACAAGCTTTATCAGTGATGTAGGTAATATTTTGTCCCCCGTCTGCTTTGCTTCAACTGTTATCTCTCAGTTCGTTCAGAATTTGCGGCGAAGAGGGATGCTATTTATTGTGGTACTTAAAGACCTCAGCAGAAGGAAAACAAGAAGGAAGCTGGCAGGAGTGGTTTGCTGGTCCTGTTTCTTCAATGACTCCATGAGCTGGACATCATCACAGATCTCTAACACACTGATAGAGTTGAGTTAAGGGGTGAGTTGGCTGTAACACCGGCGTGATGAAGACTCAGAGAGCTCTAGATTCACAGTAAAATTTCTGGTTGAAAGCAGGAGGAGAGCTTCCTCCTGTTCCCCTGCTGAGGCTTCGGTGAGGGGCTGCCATGCAATGTATTTGTGCTGGATGTTGAAGTGTTCTGACATCACAGAAGAGAGGAGGCTTACCAAGGCCACAGGAGGGGAGGCTTATGAAGGCAGAGGTCATCTCGAATGGGAGATCCCCTGAGAATTTCTGAAGATCTCCTGTTCCTATGGAAATGTTACAGACTCATGGAGGGGTTCCAGTTTTCTCTCTGACAGCTCTGCTCTTTCCTTGGTCTCAGGAAGGGAACTCACCAGTTTGGGCTGTAAGTTGTATTCCTTGATATTTATGTGTAAAGTACAATGATTAGTAGTTTGTAGTCTCACCTGTTTTCATAAATGATGCTCCTTCGGATAGGAAGAGTTTTAGTGCATGGGAGAAAAAGCTGGAATTTTCAGACCAACAGCATAGTCTAGTCACTTCCTTCCTTCTGAATCTGAAGCCAGATTCAGAGAGGAGGTGGGGAGATATATTAGGCAACTAATTATAGTGGCCCTAGCTAGGGTAGTATTATTTTATTTATTCACAAACAGCTACGTCCTATCATTAGTACTGGAGACACAATGGTGATCAATGTAGACATCTTTGCCCTCAGTTTAAGATTAGAAAGATTGAAGAAATATCTAGGAAGTGGATTTATCAATACTTGCTCATTAATTGGATGTGTGAGTTGAATGAGGGTCAGGGATGACGTCTAGGTTTCTGGCTTGGGTAACTGGGTAAATAGTGGTGTCATTCACTCTAATACGTAATAGGTTTGAATTCCAGTAGTAGGTAATAGGTAATAGTGGTGAATTCCACTTTTGATAGGGTGAGTTTGGGAAAGCCAAATACACAGGTGCAGGAGACAGGTGGGCATACTGATTTGAAGCTTAAAAGGGAGTTTCCTGTAGGAGATGGAGGTTTGGTAGTTGTTGGCATGGATCAGGCATTCAGAATATGTTTATTGTGCATCTACAGTGTGCCTCGCTATGGTAGGATACAAGGATAAGGAAAAAGAAGACATGGCGCCCACTTTTGTGGAGTTTAGAGTTTAGAGGGGGAGACAAACATTAATAAAATAATCATACAAATTATTGAGAGACTGCAACTGGGACAATAGCTCTGAAATAGAGGCATCCAACGCTGTGAGACTAAAACTAGGGGATTTCACTCAGAAAGGTCAAAGTGGCTTTCTCTAGGAAGATACTTCCATTGGAGAGAAAACTGGGAACAGCTTATATGGAGGCTTTGAGGTCTGGGGGATACTGGTGAGGAAGAGGAGCTGCATAAAAGCCAGAACAGGTAGAGGGCAAAGGGGGGGTGGTGGTATAAGCTGAGCCTCGCAGGCAGGCAGTGTTTTGTAACACTTACTGAGTGCTTGTTGTGTGTCAGGTGCTGTTCCAAACACCTTTAATTTATTTAATCTTCTCAACAACCTTATGGGAGGTACTACTGATATCTCCATTGTACATATGAGGAAACTGAGGCACAAAGAAGTTAAGGAACTCGCCCAAAGACACAGCTAGTAAGTGGCAGAGCTGGGCTTTGAATTCAGGTGGTCAGGTTCTAGACCCTAAACTATTATCCAGTATCCTACACCATGTGAAGGAATTTGCTTTTATATGGAATACCATTAAAGCTTTTTTACCAGGAAGATGACACGGTCATGTTTGTTTTTTGACAAGATCACTCTGAATGCAGTTATGCATTCAGAATTCAGAATTCCAAATGTTTGGAGGAGGGTC